CAATTTTGCACAAAGCAATTGAAAAGGTATGCATGTATGTGTTAATATATATATATATATATATATATATATCTATTTCTAATTTAAAATATAAATTACTAAGCTCATTTCTTAACACTTATATTATTAGAATTTATAGTACTAGCAATATAAATTTTATATTAAACTTTATGCTTGAAATGTATTAGATGAATTATTTTCTAATTGTAATTGTGATAATACGTATTTCATATTATGGGTAATTATGTAATGTAATATATGATTTAAAAAAAAAAAATTTACTATGGTATTTAGGCATTTCCAAAAGGTTCCATTTCAATTGAATCAAATAGAGGTATGGGCTCTTACATTGGAGGTGAAACACATGGTAGTTTTCTCACACTAAGTGGAGATCTCTTATCACTGCTTGAGGTCATAAAATGTATTCCTAAAGACTTAATTGGACGAATATCATTACAATTCCGAGCACCTCGTAAAAAAACATTTTTGAAAATATTCTCGTCAACAAAAATCATAGGAATTGACATTGAAAAAGATCAAATATTTCTCATAACTAACATAAGACAAATTGAACTAGTTTTGGAGTATTTTGTTGGTTTATCAAATACAAGTTTTATTCCTTGGGATGTGCCTCGTGAATTTATTGAATTAGTAGTACCAAGTGAACCTTTATTTTCTCAGGATATTTATACCACAACATAAATTATGAGAAAATAAATGTTTTATGTTTCCAAGAAGAAAATATATATATATATATATATATATATATAACTTACATTCTAATTTTATTAAAGAAATTTCAATGGTATAATTTTTATTGACATTGAGTATGAAAAAAAGGAATGAACATACCTTAATTTAATGAATGTCTAGTATGATTTTCAAAAACTGAAAAATAATTTTGGATTTAACTTTTTTAAAAAATAAATTTACAATATATACAAATTCAAAAACCGTAATGCAATTTTACTTTGTTTGAAAATTATAGAAAATGACCTCATTAAAATTTTGATATTTAAATTTTGAGTGTGTTACTAATTTATACACATGATTTTATTTATTGATGTAAATTCTGATGTCCTATCAAAAGCTTTAGAATTTTTTTAATACATTTATTGAATTATAAATTGTAAATATAAAATTTTCCAATCTGTAATATCACATCTTGAACGGTATCTTTTTATTCATTCACAATACAAGTATCATCACAATTTAAATAATAATAAAATACTAAATATCTCTAAAGAAATAAAGGTATAATTACGAAAAATAAGAATAAACTTGCAAATATACAGGAGAAACTAAACAAAGTTCAAAGTAGTATGGAAGCAGAAAAAATCTAAACCCTAAAATCAAAATCAAAAGAAATTAATTCAATACACTAATTAGAATAATAGCAAAATATTAAACTGATTAAAAATAATACACCCCGAATCTTGAGAACCCCGTCACGTACGTTCCCCATAAGCGTACACGAATGGGAACGCGGTGGCGACCTCGTTGGCCGGGAAGCTCACGACTGCAGGTGTGAACGGGGAACCTCTTTGGCCACGTGTACTGAGGGCTTTGCTGGCACTCGGACAATTAGGGTTTCACTCTGGACAAGGGAAATGCGATTCGACACCGCTGTCGGTGCTTGCGACTTGTGGAGGAATCTCGAAACAGGTACTGTGAGTGAGACATTAGCGAAATGACAAACAGCCTTTTTCAGTAGTAATTTCACATGCAGGTCGCGCCCGGAGCATACTAGAAGTGGTGAACCGTGGAGGTAATAAGTTTTGTCACAATGCCGTGAGTTGCTGCCTGTGGACCTATGGAATTTAATTCACACCTGTGACAAATACGAAGCACGAGGTAACTACTAGGTGGGATGATTTGTAAGAAATGCGCAAATAGTGAATGTGAAGGAAGGCATCAGGTGTTTTCTACGAGAAGACGGGGGCGGATTATTGCGTTCATGTTGTAGTAGTTGTGACTACTGAAATGTATCGCATTCAGATGACAACCTGTGTACTTGAGGGATCAATGAGTTTCGGCATCGGAAAGATGTGCTCCACTCAGTTGAGAAACAAAACAAATGAACAGAGCTTACCTGATTGCCGATGTGTAAAGAAGAGACTCTAACAAGACTGAGCTTTGTAACGTTGATTTGCGTGCTAGGGAGACATTAAACAAAGGCTGCGAGCCTGTGATCGTTACTCCTCCGAAAAAGTGATGGTTACCGTTGGTGTGCTATGATTCCCTTGACATTATTCTGCCCCGTCAACGGGAAATACGCCTACCGCCATTCGTCCTAGCACAAGGCGTCCTGAAATAGCAACTTCATAACGAGGGCTTGAGACACACGTGGGTGGATTTATTGTGAACTATGAAAATTGCTCCCTAATTGTGGGTGGATTCGAAAGTCTTCCCACTATGTAGAATGCGATGCACTCATGTTTTTCCCATCAACTACGGTGTAAGTATTGATCTCACCATCTCCCATTCGGCCCGAGGTTGCAAGGTTCAATCCCCCATGTTTCTTCTCAACACGCCCAATCCTGCTAAGGTGTTCCAGTATTATGTTTCAATTACTCTAGCAAGCGACAAGGTAAAACTTCAAAAGCAATGGAACTGCTGTTGCAACAGTTTTCGGTACTCAGTGACTGCTTGCTATGTCCTCAACAAGGTCCTCCATTGCCTGAAAAGTGATGCCTAGATATCTATTGCGAACCACTGTGACCACTAGATCAAGTGATGCTGAATGAGGTGGTACGCGCGAGTTTCGTATTTTGACCATGGGCCAGAGCGGGCGATGGACGCACATCCTGTTGTTGGTGACTAGCCGTGGGAGACACACTCACCGGGACCTTATCCATCAGTTCTTGCAACGCTACGTAGCAAGCCAGACTTAAGAATGTTCTCGTGATCCAACAATTCAAGTGTGAAGCTGGAGAGAAAAGTGGGTCTCCGTATCACTGCAGCACTCGCACAATGGAGTTTACCACGTCGAGGCTGAGATAGCCTCACATGGAGACAAGAACGGCTGGAGTTTTCTGAGCATTGGACGTCTTCCCAAGCCCCAGTCGCAACTGTGGCCTGATTCTACCAAATATGTTCACATTTACAGTCTACATTTGTGAGGAGATTCAGCGTTTAGTTTTCATTCGGAGCAAATTGTTGTGTATTGTACGTAGGAGGGGACCGTGTGAAGGAAATACGTATTGAGACGACGTTCTAGCAAGTTGTCACAAGAGAAATCGAGACATGGTTTTTAGGGACTGTTGTCAAGGAGAGTGTGCAAGCACTGCATTGGAGAGAACAGGCTTCTTCTCAGTTAAAATGTGTGCTGCTGAATTGGCTAGGTGTTTCCTTGACGTTTTGGATAAATTGATGTTCACCTGGAAGAGGAATTGCGAGTGAAGGATTTTAGTTTCAGTTGTAGTCTCCAACTTCCGAGTCTTAAATGTATGGAGACTGAGCTACAATAATCTGATTGAAGTTTGTGTGCAAGGAGGATACGACATGGCGTCTGCCGTGGCAACAGGGTCTTGTTTTGCCGCGCAATTGAATGTAGTTGTGCGAGCGGCCGACACGCCAGTGTCATCTCCCACCGTGGCCAGAGCGAGCATTCAGGTGAGGCATAAATGTTACTCAGGGGCTAGTTTGCAGTCTCTGAAGGGGAGCACTACGCTTTGCGATACGCATCAACGGAGCAGTCGCAATGCGGCCGTAGTTGTGCGCGCTATGGCCGAAAACCCCTCGCCTGTTGACCAACCCGCTGTGAAGGAGACGTATGAAGTGGAGCTGGAGAAGCCGTGGGGACTACGATTCTACAAGGGCGCTGACGGTGGAACGTACATTGACGCTGTGGCTCTTGATGGGAGTGCCGATAGGACGGGGATGTTTACCCCAGCGACAAAGTGATTGAAACCAGCGCCATGTTTGGAAATGAAATGTGGCCTGCTGCTGAGTATGGTCGCACAATGTACACCATTCGGCAGCGAGTTGGGACTCTTCTCATGCGAATGGAGAAGCGTTACGGAGTTGGGGAAGATGGAGGCGCGACTGCGAAGCAGCTTTCGGCGGAGCGGAATGCTGGCTTCATCAGCGATGGTATCTGGGAGATTCAAGTTCAGGATTATCTTCGCAAGCAGAAGAAAAGTCGAGAAAACGAGCTCAACTCTGGATTGAAACTCTACAAGATAAGGAAGTACGAAGAAGCTTTGGTTCACTTCGAGTCTGTTCTGGGTTTGAAACCCGAGGCCAGGGAAGAAGCCGTTGCTAGCTACGACGTCGCGTGCTGTTACTCCAAATTGAACCTAATTGATGCTGGTCTTCAAGCTCTGGAGGAGGCCATGCAAGCCGGGTTCGAAGACTACTAGACCGTGAGAGAGGATCCTGATTTTGCTGCGCTGCGGCAATCCCCAGGTTTTACACCCCTCATTAATAAATACGATGAACCTTTCATTGACGAGAATGCCCTGAACGCGATTAAGAGCATTTTTGGAATTTTTGGTAGTAAGAACTAAGTCGTTTGTGCAGATTACTTGAAGCTCTTTGAGACCGAAACGCACTGTTCAGATCTGCTCTCTTTTGGTCGTATATTTACTGATCAATTCTTTGTATAACTAACTAGAAGATTCTGTTTAGTTAAACTGCCTTGTTCATGACTGTGAAGAACACAAACTCTTGCGATTGAACCACTTAATCTGTTAATTGCACGATCATAACATAACTGTTGAAGAAATATCTTGAAGCGCATGACTACAATGCATCCTCTCATGGGGGATAAAGTATGATCTCAAAGTGTCGTGGTTTGTTTTCCCGTGTGTTAATGAGGAATCTGAATATTCATCGGCGATTTTGGATGGTTTGTGTCGCCGCCTCGTCCATTTTTAGCTACTTTGTTCACTTTCCTACAAATTCGCTGAACCCATGAACGTGTTTGACAAGGGCGTGTATCACGTGCACGCAACAAGCCCTCACGGAATCAACATCAGCCTTAACTTACTCAGACAGGCATTTGAAGCACGTGGTCCCATCGTCAGCTTTGTTTTTGAAGTAGACAGTTCACAAATGCACCCTGTCCTGTCCTTCCTCCAGAAATCATATGTCTTCAAGCACTTATTATCAACTTCTCATCAATCAACATGGTTTGTCCACACAGACAAACCCACGTTTGGAAAAGGAAATACGCACTACACATATACTGCCTGCTTTGTACACAACATTTATACACGTGCGCCCCTCACCAGCCTTCCTCAAAAGTTATCATCTATCTTATCTGCGGCTTTCGGCGGCTATGGCAACGAGTTTCTGGGAGCACTTAGTGATGTTTATCATCAATGTCTGTGCGTCGCAAGGTTGTGAAGAGCCGACGCAGCAATGACAGTGGACAGGGCCTGAAATATAAAACCGCAGAGGGTGGCGATCAGAGCACCTTGGACATAGTCACAGAAGCGATCCACCGTCGGGCACACTGCATTCCAGAAGGCAGAATGCTGGCCATGCTTCCCAATCCATGCCACTCCCAGTGCCGTTGAACCTGCCGAGATCAAGGCACATGAACATATCTGGAAGAGGAACCGATGCTCCATATCAGTAGAAATTTATGGACACCGTAGCACAGCGAAAAGTATTCTAGAAACTTGCAGGAAGGTATCATAGCTTGTAGTGAAGGCTTACAAAGTCGCAGAGGAAGGTGAGCCATGCGGTTTTAGTGTAGCTAAGAGGACCTCGCCGAGTGAATAGGGACAGGCATGCCGCAAGTGTTCCAAGAGCCGCGTAAACGAGGACAATGGAATTGCCGATAACAAACCACCTGCGTCATATCTTCCTGTTAGACCAAAAAACAAAAACAAACTCCAGCAGAGTTGTCAGGAGCTATTTTCGCATACATTTTTTGGGGATACAGTTAGAAAGGAACAACAGAAAACTTAAAAGCCACAATTCACTCAGACGGTTCAATTGCAACCCAATTTTCATTCTTCCTGGCAGGCGTCAATGAGGGACAGCAGCCTGCCTAAGTACAGTGATGTCAGAGGCACTTCGCTATGAGACATATCACACTGCCCACGAGTGTATTTCATGGGTTAGTTAAATTTCGTGAAACCGAAGAATGGAGTAGTGACAACGGCGCACTTACTCGAATGCGGGAAAGTCTTTCCATCGAGCTGTATGCGGGCCTAACAAGGTTGGGACGGTTTGAGTAGACTTCAGCATGGCAACAATGGCAGCTATAGTGGCACCCAGTGTTAATAAACGCAAGATGAGGGAGAGGCAGTCATGCATGGGGTGGTATCTCACGGGCCCCGCCTCCTTGTAACTTGGCTGCACCGTGGCTCCGTTCATCGCGAATGCGCTCGATTTTCTGCCCACAACTATTCCCTCACCCCTCCCACCAGATCCTAACTCTTCCCCTCACCCTTAGGCTAATCTATTCAGTTTCAGCGAACCAAACCTGCAAACTCCAACAACCCCCCTGCGCAAATAACCTGAACCCTGAAGTAACCACTCTCAAATACAATCCATAATCACCCACAATCGGTGGCTCGCCACACTCATCAACCCGATCCTACTCTCCATGCATTACCAATTGCAACTCCACAATCACATCACCGCTGCATGAGCTCTCACCCCAATTTCGGGCCTCGATTTGCAAAATCTCCAACTATACGACCTTGCAGCGACGACACCATTTCAATTGCGGCACGACCAGCCTAAGTTTAGTTCGGCATACATCTCCAATGTCTCGCGCGTTTCCAGCGGAAGGAACTGTCCAGCCAAACGTACTCCCGAGGAACATTTAAATCCCCCACGATCCCCTTCTTCTTAAATCCTACAATTTCTTGCGACAGCTAAAAACTAGAGGGTTGACAAGCACCAGGAACATTGTAGAAAAAACCGACATCCAGACGCAGCAGAGGCAGAAGAATCTCATATCTCTCGCATTACGTGGACCTCTTAACTGATTGGCTTGAATCCGTCACGTCTGGAACTAGTCCTCCTGCTGCGCTTCTCGCGTGCCAGTGCCCTTTTACACTCAATGCCAGGTCGGCAACACAAAAATAAAAAATAAAAAACAGCAACACCCATGTCATGAAACTCTAGATCCCTGCGTAAAACCTGTAACCAATGTATACATGTGAATGGTTGGTGACTTTGTCTGGGTGCAGTGGTACAAAATGCCCTGGCAACGAACGGCTGCTTTTCTGCAGCGTCAGGGCCCCAGCAGACGTCGAAGACTTGAGTTGCAAGGGTTGAAGGGAACGGCGGATAGGCCTAGGGTTCCTTTTTCACTGTCTCTCTCTCACCATCTCTCTCTCTCTCTGCAGTACAAAGCCACATTACGTAAGTTCTTGTCTACCTCCCACTTCATCGATAAGTGCCAATTCCAAGATCAGAAAGCAGTGGATAATGTCACGGTACTGCAAAGGGTCAAGGTATTATGGAATAAGAAGAATGTAACAAAAGTTCAGTGGAGGGTGTTTCGAATGTCAATAAAACCATTAAGGAAATGACGAAGGAAACTGAATTGTGACGATCAAGCGTGACCTCAAAGGTCAAACAAAGCAGAAAACAGGCAGTTGACACAACTTTAACTGGGTTTGACCGTGCTTTTGACTTCTAGACACCCTATCCTTTACAGATGATGCTGCTACGCTCAGAAGATTGCTTGACCATTACGAGGCATCACTCGCAGCCTTGACATAAACGGAAGTCTGGATTCAGCGGAAGGTTTTTTTTTAGTATCTCCAGGACTCATTTCTGTTCAGTAACCTTCAACTTCGCCTAATGTTCACCAAGGAACAAACCCCAATGGACACCAAGTAAGAAAGATCCTGCAGATTATAACAATCTATTGAGCACTTGGTTAAGGAGTAACGAACTGCTGTATACGTACTCTGAAGTTTGGTGTTGACACAGTGCAAGTAAAGGATTCTAAACCATAATATTTCATTCTTTGGGACGAAGACTCAAAGAGAAAAAAAATAATGAAGCAGTATTTGTTTTTTAAATCATGCCAGGTAGCATCACATCAGGTGATCCTCAGGTATATCATTAGCTGATATATATCGGCACATATCATTGAAAGTGGCTCCACCGCACGCACGTCTTGCCCGTGCTCATCATTTGAACCAATTACTTTTTCTTTTAATCCATCATTCAATTGCTTCAGTTGGTGGGAAAATAAAAGAAAAAGCAGTTTCAAATGGACTTTACAGCCACCGGACAAGACCGTGCGTAGAACACCGAATCGAGACAACATTACTCACAAATTGTTTTGGCTTATCTTTGGGTGCACTTTATATTGTGCATGATTCCTTTTTTACTTTGCAAGCTGTTTCTTATTTCTTATCAGACAGAAAGGCAATATAATAGCTCCTTTCCTGTTGAGAGTTTTCCTGGACGCAGCAGATGTGCAACGGCAACCAGAATAATCCACCAGGTCACAGGAAAGACTCTTCACCAACTCCTTGAAGTTATACTTAAATGCATGAAGGACAGGTGGGAAAGACATTCATCAGGCTTCTCCCACACGAATCCCTTTGACAGTGCATTTGCGAGACATTTTTCATGGGTCTAATTTCTTACTAGAATATACATGCCAGAGTTGAATCTAATAACTGGATGACCAAATTTGACCAAATGGTCTTCGACTCCTACGTAAAAAATGAGCGGCCCAGATTCCTCCAACTTGACGGTTAACTAAATATTCAGAGAACCAAAGGTACAAGTTGAGAGCCACGAGAGTCAAGACAAAATTGATAATAAACATTCGAGCAACTGGTGTAACACATAGTCCAATACATACCTGTTCTGATAAGATGCCATAAGTCCCTAGAATCTTGTTCTTCTTAGCAACTAGTACATAGACAACGCAAGTAACTTTTGAGAGCAGGTCAATCTCCCTAAGCAGTACTGTGTAGCCACTACTAATACGTGCATTCTGGAAAAAAAAAACCTGCCGCATGGTCAAAGGCTGGTACATAGTATATGTTATCATCGAATTAAGCAAAGAAGTCGATTTTGTGGATGCGCCATTTGCCACAACCCTCTTCTCTGACGCTTGAGCTGCCCAATTAGATGACCTATCTCACATGCTCCAGGCACAAAGAGTTCATTTGCCCAAGCCACAACACACTGCCCATAAGCTCTGGGAACCTTGTAACCTGGCTGCCCGAAGATCTTACCGCCAGATAACCCACGATTGAGATTGTTCCAGATCAATTCAATACATATCCTTTGTAGGATATAACCGCACTGAAGGTTCAAAAACTTTGAAACGTTTATCTGCAAACGCCTATCTGCAAACGCCTCCACTTTTGCTCTCTTAACATTGCAACATACTATACATCGTGACAACTTCAACAGAAAGGAAGAGCGCAATTGTACAATCTGCATGCTCGGCTTCGAGCTAGCGCGTGACACCCATTGCAGGACCCCAATCTGAGCTATAACTCTAGCAGTAGGCAAACCAAGAAGGTATCTGAGCGTAGACGCGTTGCAACCGTTCAGCACAACAAAATTTTCAACCCAAAGAAGCCAAGGTAATGATCAATGCTCCTATTACACACCCTCACATAGTGATGGCAATACGACCATCAGCAGATGACTCCCATGAGCTATGTTGCTCCCTGGACAACGCCATCAACGACTCAGGCAACTCCAAATTGTTAGAAGCTATGAAGACAGAAGCTGCGAAGACGCTTGATAATAACGAGGCAAAAAGTAGAGACAATGTAGGCTCCATTCTCACCGAATTAATTCGATGTCTAAAAGCAGATATGCAACCTTAGCAAGTTAGAATTGAGGAAGAACAAATGGACCGACCTGAATTCTCGTTCGCCGAATTTCCTTGACCTCATGCAGAGAATATTAATTAGAGCATCATCCGAAAGGGAAGGATCCGAGAGAAAAGCCATCCGATAAATGATGCTAGAGCTCCACTGAGACCTCTGCACTCACCTCAAGCGCACGCTCATACAGCATTTTGACAAACCGCCGGCCATGACGCATCAGCACGGCTCGAAGTCGGAACTTGTGCACATTGCTCGAACTTTTGCGAATTGCTGTGGACTGTGAGAGAGATCATGAGCCAAATGCTTGACAATCCGGGAGAGAGCAGATACACGTTGAGATAATATTATTCCACGTGAATCCAACGGCGGCAGCTGGCTCCAAATCCACGATTGAGCAGGAGGAGGAGGATACTTGGTGAGAGAGAGAGAGCTATGGCGGTGAATTTCTACGTAAAACAAAATTCTTTTCTCTTGTTATTCCAGATTTCAGCGTCCGTTTCGTTGGCCGCAGCATCATCGTCGATCACCGTCGCAAACAATGAGTGAGCAGAAGAAACACTCACACATTCATTCGCCGTGATAAGATGATTCCGATCCCGTGGGTTTCATAATGTTCGGCGGGATCTGATCATATCGTGGGTTGGTGACCTGGTGATGATTTCTTCGCACTCCTCTTCTTAACCCTAAATTCTGCAACGAACACTTTTACTTTATTTATTTATTTATTTTCCCTTTAGGGTTTCAATGCTTTCATGGTGTCATACGTTGTGCCCCTATGGAATGAAAGATTTTCAAAATTTATATTTTTTTTTCAAAATTTTAAAATGTAGTAGTATAAGTTTTTTGATCAATTATACAAAAACATTGTAGAATGTTTTTTTTGAAGATTTGAGTATTTGGCTTTGTTAGTATTGTGTCTTTTATCTAGAAGCAAGTTTTATAAATAGTAGTTTTGTTTTATTTTTGTATAATTCTTACAAATAAATTTTTTAACATTTAGTATTTTAAAAAAATAAATGATTTCATTTTTTTGATAGCTTATACTTTCTGAGATTACTTACTTTTTATGATAAATAAAAAAGTTCCATATTTAAAAAAAAAAAAATGGTTGTTATCCACATGCATTACATTACAACTAATATTGCATTAGAGCAAATTTCAATTGAAGTTTTATGATTTTATATATATATATTAAAGAATCTTGCATATGCAGCAAAGGCGGTTGAGGCTTATCATTGATGACATCCATCAAAATCAAGATGAAAACCTTTCTTATAAAAGAAATAAGATCTAAGCAAGATAATATTCTACTTTCAATCATTGGTTGTAGCTTCTTTGTAGTTGTGATGCTAAGGAGATGGAGAACCAAAAACCAATGGGTTTGACTGATGAGCCTTCTTTTGCTGACCTACCGGATGAGATATTACCATTATCACAACCTTCAAGACGACGCAATCATGATGAAGATCCTCAAGAACGACATGTTCTTCCTCGAATAGATGGCGAGATACAACACGTTTGATATCACAACCTTGGAAGGAACTTCCGATGTTTGGTAAGAGTGAAGCTTCTTCACACTTCTCAACTCCTTTCTTGCTTCTAGTGTAGTTTCAAGGGTCCCTAGTTTTCTTGTCTTTTGGCAATAGCCATTCTAGTTTCTTCCTTAATATACATATTTAGTTATTTCTATTTTGTCATCTTTCTTTGAGAAAAGTCTCACTTGTTTATTTATTTTTATGAAGTTCTTGTCCTTGACACAAAAAAGACATGCGTCTTGGTGAGCTAGTGGTTTTTTAGGTGTTATGGCTTGATTCAAAGGGCCAAGTCTTTCTTTAGTATTGGATCTTAAATCTCTTCATCTCCCTCTTTCTCTCTCTCTTTCTCTCTTTTTCTCTTTCTCATTTTTGGTTTAGATGTTTTAGGTCCCTGAATCTTTTAAATCATTGTTTGATGCTGATGACCTCATTTCAGTATGCAATTTAATTTTGGTATAATTATGTCAAATAGAGCATTATTTGCTGGGATTGATATTATAGATTTTGGCTTAAGACATAGGTAATATAGAATTTAGGGATTAAGATATTGATGTCAATGGATCTTACTATGGAATGTTGTCATTAAATGTTTCATTTTGGAGAAGAAGAATTTTGAGATTGTAAGTTATCAATTTATGAATGAAATCTTGGAGATAAGGCAAGCATGACATGATGGTCAAGGGTCGTGATATAGTGCAACCATTACAAATATGATTAATTGAATGTGATTAATGAAATATATCATGCTAGAGTTTAATTAAATGTAGATAGGTTTAGCAATGTATTTTTTGTTGCATGCACACACTGCAAGAACAATATCAATTTAGAAGAAGGTAATCCACAACTTCTAATATGCTTATGTCTTATCAAAAGAAAAGGGTAATCTTCTCTTAATCAAGATTAGACAAAGCTCTGATATTGTAAGTGCACTCTTGTTAATCTGTTAAGGACAAGAACTTAATAAAAATAAATAAACAAGTGAGACTTTTTTCAAAGAAAGATGACAAAATAGAAATAACTAAATATGTATATTAAGAAAGAAACTGGAATGGCTATTGCCAAGAGACAAGAAAACTAGAGATCCTTGAAACTAGACTAGAAGCAAGAAAAGAGTTGACAAGTGTGAAGAAGGTTTCACTCTTGCCTCTCTATATACTATCTACCTAGGAGCTACGTGGTGACATTCTATGGGACCTCCAAAAACATGTTGACTTTGCACAATACGTAACTTAACTTACGAGGTAAGTTTTCTATGTGGATGCCATATAGTTAGCTTGTTCCGCAAGCTACCAACATGTATGGAACGTGGTTAACTTGTTAACCAACTTTCTAACCTACCAATCAAGTATAAATACATGTAAAGTTAAAGCAACGTCTATAAAGCTTCTAAGAAGCTTTTTTAGAATATATTATGAAATTAATCTACTTTTATCTACTTCTACCTATTCATATCACTTAGGTAAAAATTACAATAAATATATGTCTTTGACATTTTGCTAGTCCAATTTAAAACGTCCAATAAACTTTGTAAACCTCATGTGATCGCCATATAATCAACTATAAAATGCCCTATGGACTCAAAACTTATAAATTAGATGTCGGCATAAAAGTTTTCTAGTTATAATAGTTAAGCTTCAAACTTATAAACTTTGCCTTGATACTTATATCTAGTCAGCTAGTAATCAAGATTAGCATATGAAGATATCATGTAGGCACACGATGCCTCGAAATGCCTCTCTAACTCTGCATTTTCTATATAAGTCAATTAACACAAAAATCTTACATGATTTGATTGTCATTCTACTTATATTGAAAAAGAACCATGAATTCTAAGATTGAAGGGAGTTAGTACCTTATAAACTACTTGATTTCTAGTAAATACATTTGATCACAAAAATTTAAAATAAAAAAAAAAAAAAAAAAAAAAAAAAAAAACATCACAAAAATCAAAGAGAAGAGAGAATTAAATGTAGATTTGGCTTATTATAAATGGTGTAGTCCAAATTTCTACCATGGAAGCAAATGAACAAAATGGCATTCACAAGATAATCCATAGTAGTTTTTCTTCCATATCTATGATTATTTGTGAATGAAAAGGTACTCATTTACTTTGAAATCCTTCAACTAGAGAAAAAACAAAAATAATGCATACCAACAACAGTGATTGTCTCCACTAATTTAACAATAGAATATCCAACATTTCCTTACAAACTTTGCCATTAATATCACTTTGCTTTGCTATGTTTATCGCAACTCAATTACTAAAACTATATAAAATCATTAATTTATTATTAATTATGAGATTTTTTATATTACAAACATTCCAAAGATTGTGACTAGTTAATTTTTAATCTTGCTATAATATAAAATTTCTAAAAGATCTCCACTTCTTAAATACCATAAGTTATCCACTAATAATAATCAAAGTCAAGCCAATTTGTATATTGACTTAATATATTTTTTAAATCAAAATCAATTTCACTTTTAAACTTATCGTACATCCTTCTTGCTTCTACTAAAAAAATATTATTTTAAATCTACAAAACTCTAATTCATCTAAAAAAGTCTAAATTATTTATAAAACTCTAATGCTTAATTCCAAAGGAAAAAAAAAAAAAAAAAAAAAAAAAAAAAAACCATTTTCAACAATTGCAAAGGCCTTCCTAACAATTTTTTGTTTTGTAATTTGTATTGAATTAAATATTTAAGAGTTTGATTACACTCATAGTCCTTGATTTCTTTAGAGAAGATATTGAATATGACTTAAAATCTTATCTTTATGTCTTATTGATTTAACATGAAGTTACAAATTAGGTCCATTATTCTTGCTTTATAGATTTTTACAAGCATTTCCAATATCATATCAATACCACATACTACAATACTCTAATAAAGACTTGCCTCTTCTTAACAAAGAGATTCTACAAAGTGGTTCTTGAGACTAGTAGAACAAGCCTTTGCTGGAATACATTTCAAAATCCAACAGTTGTAGCACGACAAGCTTGACATACTTTAATGTGTTACAAGACTCTAAGAGGAAATCAAGGTTTAATTCAAATTTTCTTCTATGAAATATATCATGAAACTTCACAAAAGGTATGATTCATTTGATGGCAGAGGACAGCCAAAAACAAGTGTGCACTAAGAATCAGACCTAAAAGAAAAAAACCGGACATAAAAATCCATTCGAATCACAACAATCTCTACCACGCAGATTGCTTGTATTTAGAAAATTCGAAAGCCTATCCAAGCCCATATGAGATCCGTAATTGCCAAATCTAACGATGCGTCGCAAACATGGAATCATGCCCAAAGAGTGGTTAACTAACAGAAGCAATCCATTGGACCTTTGCTGGTGAAGAAAGAAACATCAGATGAGGTGAAATACCTTCAATTTTTGCGCTTTCTAAGGTGGACTGAATAATAAACTTCAATATGGGAAACAGTGTACTATTCTGACTGCAAGCTCTCACGCCCATTCACCGTTGACTATAATTAGGCTACGTTTCCCATCTAGTGATGTTTAGCTTCTGTTCTCTCTTCACTGTATGAATTCAGTGTATAATGTAGAACTACGTGACATGTAAAATATTCGATTAGTGAGCTCGACAATTCCCTTGTTAACGGACTGAGAACGAAGGCATCTTTCAACAACCCAAAGTTGATTTCTTTCAGTAAAACTTGAGATGGACTTCTGGACCACGTTCGATTCGTTCCAACAGCTCCACATCGCTGAACAACACGCTTTCCTGCGTGGTAAAAGACTCTAGAAGTCGACGATGTACAACCTCGTCGTCGTGACCGGACCTAAACCACGACAGTCGGAAGCATTTGTCGCCAGATCCATAGATAAAACCAGCTCTGATCAGGCGCGGTATAGTGCTGCTGATCCATCCAATAAAACATGCTAATTCTTCCTCGAATTTCTTCACAAGTTCGATCTTTCCGTCCTCTCTGGTCTAACCAGGTCATGCCGAACTGAGAGCTCATCCCAAGCATTAAATACGTTAATAATTGAAAAAATGGACAGTAAGATTATTATGACTTTTGCTGCTTCAACGGTAACTCTCCAATTTGTAGATTCTCCACTGTTTTCTGGCGCTTCTTTTCCTGTTCTGCAGCACGCTTAGCCGCCTGTTCAGCACTCAACATTTGAATGGGAAACCAGTCAGGCAATTTCCACGAACTCTCCTCAGTTGTTTCCTCCTCTTTCACAACTGGGACTTCAACATTGGCATCAGCTATCAATGGTTCTGAAGGAAGAGTATTAAGAAAGTGGCGGATTCTGTATTCTTTGTATTCAGCAGCCCCGAGCTGCAATCCAGTGCCAACAACAGCAAACAATATACCCATAGGAAGTGTCCTAGCTCGTCCCCCTGAAAAAACACAATACAAAACAGTAAGCATTGCTGAAATTGCTCAAACGATTCGTATACTTCCTGTTGCCAACCTTTTCAATCCATGTCAAACTCCAACAATTAGGGATGCATTGCAAGCGCAACTCTGATGACGCAAAAAAGGAACACAAAACGTGAGACTCGCAATGATATGATTCATTCGATAAACATGAAATAAGCTGAATACACACCATGTACTGTACATATACAACGATCTAGAAACAAGCAGAGAAGAGTCGTCAAAGCAGCTATGACGCATGATGTACTGAACTTTTACGATATATTGATTTTGTCCCAATATTTGAATCAAGATGAGAACAACGAGCACGGTGCAATGATAGTACCATGGAAGTGACCCAATAAAGCACCACTGGCAAATCCTCCAACAGCAGCATCGATCAAGTTCTCCGGTTCAGCAGCTCGAAGCTCCCGTGAAATTTCTTGCGCAGCTGAAATCAGCCAGTTATAAAGTCATTAGTATGTTCTGGCAGATTCCTACACTTGAAGATACCGATGCAAACTAGGTTTCAACACTGTACGAATCTAAGAACAGTGGATTATGAAAGAACAAAACTAAAACCCTACAACCTGATATTTAACTTGCCGAAAGTGGAGTTTTAAGAGCCAAATAATAGTATTGTATAAGAGCAAATAGGAACTGTCAGGGGCAAGTACCACCGAAGCAAGAGGCTGCGATAAGGAAATTGGTGCCCACTGACAATCCTAACCGCAGAGCAGGCTGACCCCTCACAGCTCCAACTAGAAGACCTGCTCCCGCACCAAAACCCCCTGCAGCTCACATATTCACAAGCTTCAGCATGTAACTTCCTAGACCTTGCAACTAAATAATGCACCCATCTGCGAGCAATATCTCCTTGGCGTCCAAAACATCTTGAACACCTTGGTCGTAATGAACAAAGCAATCGCATTCGAATAATTAGCCCAAGATGGTAACTGCCAATCTCTCAAGACATGGACTTAAACAACGAACCCAGCGCTATCAATCAACTAAGCACATTTCATGCACATTATTCACAAATTCGCCAGAACCTCCGTCCTTGGAGCTCAAAAGACCTCCCACAAACCCCAAAATCTATTGCCAAATCGCATAGAAAACCCTAATTCCTTAACCCCTGCACCAATAGCATGTCACATACAAAACACATAAAATCAAAATCAAAAACAGACCTGCAGCCAGTGATTTCGAGAGGATTCGGTAACCCCAGCCATCACTGCCACGGTAATCCAGGGGCCTCCCACCGGGACTCATTGGCCTCCCATCGAACTCTCTCCTCCATCGCCTCCCTCCCGGTCCATCCACTGTCATCTCGTCTCCTCCGTTTCTACATACTCCTCCTCGTCGCTTCTTCTAATTCTTCTTCTTCTTCTTTCTACTCTTCCCCGGAACTCAAGAGTGTAGACACATATCAACCGGATTCTTATACCGTCTTCTTCGCGATCGTTCCGAACGTGAGATTCCACCGAGGAGCTCCCTATAACAGAAGGAGCACGACGCAATTTCCCCACGCTAGACTCTCCCACTGCAGCCGAGCTTTTCTCGTCAATAGTTGCGCGAGAATCCACTTTCGTTCGTTCCTCGCTTACTTTTTGACGCTTCGTCGGCGTCTTCGTCAACGAACGACGTTTTAGAAACGAAAGAAGGACGACCACACACTGTCGTCAATGATCGTCGTCCTCCAGGGCTTTTGAACTATGGATATGAGTGTAACGTATGAGTACATCTGATTCTGCTTGCAGAAATCTACCATATCTTTTGAGCATTCCAAAGAGTCATTTAACAAATTTGAATACTACGCATCATTTATTGGAAAATCAATCCTAGAATCCATGAAAATAATTCTAGATAAAACATACCCAAAAAACATATTAGCATTAACGAGCTTAATTATAACCATCACTCAGGCTTACATTAAAAATAAATAAATAAATAAAAACTAAAAAACAAACTAAAAAACAAACTAAAAAACAAAACAAAAAAACAAAAACACACGCATGGTGAAATACTTCTCTAATTTTCTATTTAGCACTTTGTGCATCTAATTCAAGCCATCGAGCACACATCTGAAAAATCAACACGAGTAATTATCTATTTGAAACTTTCCATATTTTGTCACAAAACACGCAACCCCTGACTACTTCTAAACATGATAACCTCATAATCGAAATCTTATTCAAAGAAATCCAAATTAACGAAAGAGCTTCCTCCTCGCACACTAGGGTTATCAAACAAATCATCATCTCACAATAGTAACATTCTCATTCATCGATATATGTATATGTGTGTATATATATATATATATATATATTCATCCAATATATTCACGACACCAATAGATCTCATCCTTGCTCTTTCTTTTTCCTTCTTCCTCCTACTCACTTGTTTCTTCACACTTTCTTTTTTCTTTTCTTTCTTGCCTTCGACCTTTTTCTTTATTCTTTATTCTTTTACTTCCCATCCACTTCTTCATGACTTGCGGTGCCACGAGAGCGCACTGCAACCATCGCGTGGCATTCAAGTTTAGCCGGCATCGAAGCTCACGAAGGGCAGCGAGTGCATCGCCGCCGCGGAGGAATGCAAGATGATGAGCGCCATGCGCAATAGCAGATTCGACGACGATGATGCCGTGAATTGAAGGTCGAAAAGGGACTTTCAGTCGGTTGCAGAATGGTGTTCGTTATGAGAAGCCCTGGTGGATTGCTTACCGCTCGATCAGGTAAGTCCCGGAATCGCTGGCCTCCTCTCCGCCATGCGGCGCTCCTTCACCATGGGCCCTACCCACCCGGATTGCAACATTCACATCCGCCATAGCCAACTCATACTGTTCTCTCAATTCTTAGTCACCGGCCACTTGGTAGTAGACTGACTGACTGACTGCCGCTGCTCCTGCAGCACTGCCCTTTCCCTTGTATCTTCTCGAAGTTCAATCCTGTGATCTTAACTAACCATCTGCAGCGCGCGTTTGTTTGTTATTTTTTGTATTTGCACTTCAGGAAGGTGGGGCGGTAGTGGGTTTGGTGGTCGTTGATTTTTGAGTATAGTTGAGGCGAATTGGGTTTGCGGAATTGGGTGCTTGGCCTTGGTAAGCATGGCGTTATGTGTGGCGCCCCTGCGGGTCGTTGGGGTTGAGTCCTGCTTGTCGGGATTGTCTTCTGGGTTGCGAGCATCCGCTGCGCCGTGCAGCTTTGCCCCGCTGCAGTTTCGAGCTTTGTGTCCAGAGGAGGTTGGGAACTATGGCTTCTCCTCCTGCGCGCTTCGGAGCTCTGGGATTAAGGAGCTTTCGAGGCCTCATCTTGGGTATGATTTGGCAGCGAGGGGGCGCCGCAAGCTCGACTCTCTGCTCACAGGTGAGATTCATCTGCATCTGTGATTTTGTTCCTCAGAGAGCGAACTGCTGCTTCTGGATTATTTGCTGATTTTTCTCGGGCAGGATCAGATTGTTCCCGCGTTAATTCTCATACTCAGATGACAAGCATAGGGCCGATGAGAATTCATTTCGGCGTTTCTGGAGGGACCTAAATCTTCGAATTGTAAAGTTTGGATTGGTTGTGAGGAGTTGTTACAAGAGTTGTGGACATAGAAATCTTACACTGGTCGATGCTAGCTGTGGCGTAGTAGCTCTATTCGCTTACGTTACATTGCGCTCCCATTTCAGCGGATGCTTCTGGTATACCCAGGTTTGCCGAGCCTACATGGTGGGAATGCTGGCTTAGCTTCGATGCTTTCCCAGGGGTACAATTTCCCGTAGCAGTTTAGGTCAACAATTTTAAGTTGGATTTTCTTCTCTGATTAGTGGGTTGAATGTAGATTAATCCTGAACCTCACCCTGCGAGTATTGATGGGGATATGCGTTCGCCTTTCTAGTGAAGCAGTTTTAGGCTTATGTTGGGAGTCGATGCAGTTGATAATGCACGTAACTATATGAATTTTCAACGAACCAAATCAATGTTTTCTTTTTTCTTCAGTTTTAAAATCACGTCAACCTCCTCAAGGACAGGTGTATTTATGCAAACATGAGACTAGACTTGCCGCAGTTATTGGCTTATTTTAGTCGTAGTGTGCAGAGCTTTCGAATTTCATGCAGAATTTGGTTTGAATATGGATGATATTAAAAAAAGAGGTCGGAAAGCTTCCAGGTTAACAATCTTGGTAACGATAAGCTGCTAGTTTTCAGTTATTTGTAGAATACGAGCATTTAGTACTCGACTGATGTAAATCTGGTGGTTGGAGTTGTCAAAGCTGTGACATCATGACAAAATATGGCCTTCCTGCTTGGCATTGTCGAATTTGTTGACATTTATTTTACTCGAAAGTGATTTTCCTCTAATATATTTATACTGAAGTTGGGTTTTCTTTGGGAGTGAAGTGGCTGCAGTGGCGAATCCAGTTGAAGCTAACAGAGGATTCGAAGAGATGACAGCAGGAACAACACGGAAGTATTTTATGTTGGGGGGCAAGGGTGGTGTGGGGAAGACCAGCCTTGCTGCTAGCTTAGCCGTTAAGTTTGCTAACAATGGCCATCCAACGCTGGTCGTTTCCACAGACCCTGCCCATTCGCTCAGCGACTCATTTGCTCAGGTATACTCGCTGTGTCTGTTTTGTTTTCTTACTTTTCTCTTTTTCCAAGGGTTGGAGGGCAAGGATACACTCTTACGTGTCTAAGAACGGGGTTCCTCTGTTAATCAAGCAACCTCGCTCTCTTATAGATGATAGAACGTTATTAGCGGTACGGAACCATAGTAAGAGTTTAAAAAAACAATGAACAAACACAGAGTAGCCTAATCACCGTTTGAAAGATGATGTACTGGACAACCTACTGTGAGCTTGTTGCTTTCGGATAAATCATGAAGTTACTGTTTATTGCAGTCATGTATATGTTCATGTTTCATTTGATTTACGTCTGTGAGTTCGTTGTTGTGACGGCTGATGAAGCTCGTGTGCCGTAGGATTTAAGCGGTGGAACTATTATGGCCGTTGACGGTGTCGACTTTCCACTTTATGCCATGGAGGTATGTTCTTACTTTCACCATGCACACCGTGGGACAGCAGTGTAGCTTATTTGCAATGCTCTGAGTTCCTTGGCAGCCTTCTAGATTCACGGCATGATTGCGATAATATATTGATCACAATTAGAAAATTGAGTTAAGATAAGATTGGTCGGTAAACTAGCATGAATAGCTTAAATTTGAGTTCGCTGAGTTTATTTTGTTACATTGACATACAGATTAACCCAGAGCAAGCCAGAGAGGAGTTTCGTGCATCCGTCTCTAAAGATGGAGGGACCGGCGTCAAAGATTTCATGGACAGTGTGGGGCTAGGTGGTTGGGTGGGAGAGGTAATACTACAGTATCACAAAGTTGATTGAAGCTGTTTGGGATATTTCTAGATTTGGAAATTTTCGTACCTAGTTCATTATCTTTGAAGGACATAGACGGTTAGATTAATCCTTGCGTTGTGTTTTGTCCAGTTAAGTGAGCTGAAACTTGGTGAGCTTTTGGATACTCCACCACCAGGTCTCGACGAAGCCATGGCTATATCCAAAGTATGTGCCATTCACAACTAATTCTCTCACGACTGACTTAATTGCACGAAGTGAAGTTTTTGATTCTATTCTAATTGGCTAACTAGATTGTTTACTCATTCAGAGTACGTTTCGTTTTGCGTACTGAGAGTGGATTTGACCCATTCTGTGTCGTCGGCAGGTTGTTCAATTCATACAATCTCCTGAATATAGCAAGTTCACACGCATAATCTTCGATACTGCACCTACGGTACTACTTTCGCTTTTGCCTCCGTTTCAAAAGTTATCTCTGATTAATTTGCCTGCATTTAATAAGGTGGTAACAATTCTATTCTCACTTGCCAATTGTGCTGCCAGGGACACACTTTGCGTTTGTTGTCATTACCAGACTTCTTGGATGCCTCAATAGGTAAAATATTAAAGGTGCATATCTTCATCAGACTCTATTTTCTTTCATGATATGACTCATCATTTTTTCTGGATATGAATAACTGATAAAGCGATGAAATTTCAGATTAAAGCACTGTTTGGAGACTACATCCTTTGTTTATTGTGGAAAGTGAACTTGGATGTTCTTGGCAGTTGAAAAAGAAAATTCAGAACGCAGCAGCAGCAATCAAATCTGTGTTTGGTCAAGGAGATGGTCGTGACAAAGCTGTAAGTACTGGTTTTGCTCTTCATCCTGTAGTACAAATAACACAAATTTCTGGTTTTCAGCAACCTTGTGTCTTACTGTATCCGAACGCGCTGTTAAAGTGCAGAGAAGTTCTGCATGTGAAATTGCAGCTGTTCGTGTATATTCCGCTGCATCGTGCATACTGTCATCCATGTGCATTTCTTGTTTATGATCACATCAATTTTGCTAACAATCGATTTGAAATTAAGCACATGGCTTATCCTCATTTCATCACAGCAGAGCGACATGCATAAATTCTGTATTCTGACATAAACTTTTCACCTTGATAATTGTCAGACCGACAAACTCGAGGCACTAAAGGAGAGAATGATTATGGTTCGGGAGATTTTCAGAAATAAGGAAACAACTGAGTTTGTGATAGTGACAATCCCCACGGTGAGCACACACTCAGAACACCCCCATATACCCAATGCTTGCGACATCCCATAAAGCACTTCATTCACATCTTTCCCACGCATCTGTATATTCTTCAATTGACCAAATTGTTTCGCAGGTCATGGCTATCAGTGAAAGCTCCCGGCTGAAGAGTTCCTTAGAAAAAGAAGGAGTTCCAGTCAAGCGGCTTATTGTGAACCAAGTACTGCCTCCTTCCAATTCCGACTGCAAGTTTTGTGCAGTGAAACGCAAGGTAAGCGACCACACGGAACATGTGTAAAGGACCTCCACACTAACAAATTCTGGAAATAGGCATTCTTCCGCTTGCATCGTGTAGCAAAGCAATGCGCTAACCAAACTGCAATATGTGCAGGACCAAAAAAGAGCAATGGATATGGTGTCCAAAGATCCCAGTTTACAAACGCTAGAAGTAGTGGAGTCTCCATTGTTTGACCTGGAGATAAGGGGAGTTCCTGCATTGAAATTTATGGGCGACCTGGTCTGGCGTTGATGAACAACGTTGGGATTAGCAAATCCTGGATTTGTGTATTGAAAACACTTATTGTAATTTTATGATTTGATGAACATCCAAATAGTTGAACATCGCTACGCAACATTCTCGCCTGTCTCATTGCAGCAGTCATAAATAATTACGACAAGCATAGCGTGATCGAATAGTGCTTCAAGAGGGAGGTAAGGATGTGTCTATGTTCCAAATTCATAGTTCAACACCAGCATCTCAAATTCAATCCGCGCCGCAACGAACAGGTGTATGGAATTTTCTCTTTGATCAAACCAGTTCCACGTACTCAAATTTCGCTGATGAAAAGAGCACCCTCATCTGGTATTAAGCTACACAATATAACATGAATCAATCTTTTACTGAACAGTGAACTTGCTCCCTTCAAAGAACGTATTACCTACAACGGTATGATGCGATTTTTCAAAAGTATACCTAGCGGCAAGCGCCACCTTGCCATCATCACCATGAAATGAAGTATCTCAACACAACAATCTGACGTACATGTCACACAAGAAAGCAGAACCGGAATACTCATTCGAAACGCACGAAACTAAAACTATACTAGAGGACCGCAACCTGAAAACCCATCTCAATCCAGAAAGACACTCATGGAAACAAAATAAAACCGGCAACACACCACAATCAACACAAGCGGTCTACGGCCAGCGGGCCGCAAGGACAAAGCCATGGACTGTGCGCACTACTCTGAGAATGACTCTGGCGCGTCCTCAGAGGCCCGATTTCAGGAAGGCGGACAAATTCATGCTCTTGGATCGAGACGGCAGGTGATTCTTGATTCGAGTTGTTATTATTACTAGTTCTGTTATTCGTATTGCCATTATTATCATTATCTTACTTTGCTTTAAGAGTGTGTGTGTGTGTGCGCTGACGGGGGTGGTGGTGTATCCTGATTCGTGAGTATTGGAGCAGGTGGGTGATGTGTGAGGGAGAATTTGGTCTCTGGGCGCGTCACAGGGTGAAAGTGTGGTCGGAGGGAGGGAGGGAGGGTGGCGTTGCGGTGGTTCGATCTGTTGAGGTCAGTGAATTTCAGCTGCCCGAGAGGGGGAAGAGGAGGAGGGGGAGGAGTAGGAGGAGGAGAAGGAGAAGGTGGTGGGGGTGGCAGTGGGGGATTCCGTGAAGTGGGAGTTAGGGATAGCAGGGTAGCATGCCGACAGCATCTGGTCGATGCAGGCGTACCTTCACCTTCACCTTCACCGACGAGGCTGCGGTAGCAGTGCGGGGGAGGGGGCTGTGGGGGAGTGGGTGAGTAGCAAGCTGGGTGATAACCGTGAGGTGAGGTGCGGTGAGGGATTTGGGTTGCGGGGTTGAGAGCGGGACGTAGTGATGGAAGGGGCAGGCAAAGGCTTCGATGCGAGGTTTGTGGGACGGGTGCAGTCGGAATTTGGCGGGGCGAGCGGGGTGAAGGGGTGCGGGAGCACTCCCACGATCAATGCTGCGGCGCATCCTCCGCATCCCACACAGTCTCAGCTGCACCAGTCGCGGTATGTGGGATACCCGTCGACGCCTCACCCGTTCACTGTGAAGAGGGAGGCGTCTCCGTCTGTGTCCGAGTCGTCAATGAGATCGAGGGAGTCTTACTCGGTGGAGGCGAGCATGCAAGACGCGGTGACGTCGCCCAGCCCCGCAAGCGTTTCGGGGTCGGGGCAGGGTCGTGGGATGGGCAGTCTGGGGCCGAATTTTAGCACAGATGTGAATCAGATGCCGGACACCCCTCCGCGACGAAGAGGGCACCGGCGTGCGCAGTCGGAAAGCGCATTCCGAGTTGCGGACGATGCGTCGTTCGAGAGCGAGGGTGGGGTGCAGGGATCGGAGATTCCGACCGTTTCCGACGACGGTGCAGAGGACCTGTTTTCGATGTACATTGACATGGAGCAGATAAACAGTTTGATCGGGACATCGGAGCAAGCGGGTGCAATGAAATCGGGTGGTGAAGGGGACAATGCGCCTCCTCCGCCTGGTCATCATGCTCGGAGTTTGTCCGTGGACGGAGGGCTGGGGAACTTGACCGGCAACAGGACGGGCGTGGGTGTGGGTGTGGGTGGTGGTGGTGGTAGCGGTTCGATGGCATCGGAAGGTCGGCGGGCGCGGCACCAGCACGTTAGCTCGATGGACGGGTCGAGCTGCTTCAAACACGACCTGTTTGGCGAATTCGGAGGGGACACGAAGAAAGTGGTGGCTTCGGCGAAGCTGTCGGAGATAGCGCTGGTCGATCCGAAGCGTGCCAAGAGGTGAGAATTTGGACGAGCGGTGGTGGTGTGGATGGGGTTGTTGCATTTGGTCCGCATTGGGATGCTGTGATTGCGTGCGAGGGGGCGAACGAGCGGTGAGCGGCGCGCTGAAGTCGGGTGTGAACTTGGTGAGATGGGGGTACAGTGTGGGTGTTGAGGACCGCTGCGATTGCAGTGAGCATGTTAGCCGGGTGTGGAGTGGATTAGAGCAGAATGTGATGTCTCGTGGTCTGACATGGAGCACGTGACGACTCAGGATATTGGCGAATCGGCAATCTGCAGCCCGTTCGAAGGAGCGGAAGGTGCGATACATCTCGGAACTGGAACGCAAGGTGCAGGGCCTGCAAGCAGAAGCCAAAACGCTGTGTGCCCAACTTGCGATGCTGCAGGTGTGTATCCGGCATGATTTTGTGTTGAGTGCGTGACGTGGTGAACGCAGTGTGGGATGCGGTGATTGTGGGAACAGCAGCGGAGCGGGTTTGGATGGGGAGGCGTTGGATATGGTGAGGTAGAATGGTGGACGGAGTGTAGGTGGGTGGCGGAGCTGAAGCGTATGATGTGTACTGGTGCAGAAGGAAACAGGTGGTCTGGCGACGGAGAATGGCGAGCTGAAGTTGCGGCTGCAGGCTATGGAGCAACAAGCTCATCTACGTGATGGTGAGTTCCTGGGAGCCTGTTGGGGAGAATTGCGAGTGGGTGTTTTGAGGAATCGGGGTAGAGCAGGCTGTGAGCAGTTACGGTGGGTGAGGCAGGAGCAATTGATGGCATGCGGCATGGGTTGGAGGGGAATGATGCGATGTTGAAGTTGGTTTGCGTTTCGAGGATGGGCAGGAGTGCTCGAGGGATTGTGTTCGTTGTGGCTTGCTGTGTTTGGTTGGGTGAATCGGTGTTGTGGTGGGTTGGTTGCACCTGATGTACGTGCGTGGTATTGGTGAGAGTGTGAGGAGAAGAAGAAATAGGGGGTGAACACCCGTGTGGAGGTTTGGTTGGCGGACGCGTGTCCGTAGATGTGGATGTAGTGGGGAGACGATGATGTACGTGCGTGGGGTGGAGGGGAAGGAGCAGGGCGGGCGTGGCGAGGCTGAATGGGTGTTTGTGGGGTGCAGCGTTGAACGAAGCGTTACGAGAAGAGGTTCAGCGGCTGAAAGTAGCAACAGGTCAAGTGAGCAGCGGGAGCGGGCAGAGTTTGAGCATGGGCGGCCAGCACGTGTTTCAGATGCAGAGTCAATCGTTCAATCCGCAACAGTTGCAGCAAGCGCAACCAGCGTCGAACAATGCGGCGGCTTCGGCGGCGCAGCAGCAGCAGGGAGCGCAGCAGCAGATGCATTCGGATTACTTGCAGCGCGGGGCATACAATGTGTCGAGCGGTTTCATGAAAAGCGAAGAAGCGAGCATGGCAGTGAGTCATGCGAGCAGTGCGTCGTTTGGGTGATGGGTGCGGTGGAGAGGCACAGGCGATTTGGAGAAGAGAAGGCACCCGAAGAAGGCAGCCGGAGGCTGCGATTCTTGGTGGTTGCAGGACGCAGTGTCCGGGACAAACCTGAGAGGGTCGGGCGTGGAAGTCCTCGTCCGAGTGATTCACACCGAAGTAGCTTGATGCTGCGGTGACCAAGCTTTCGAAGCAGGTTCGGTGGGGTGGGTTTGGCTGTGGAAGAGGGAGGGGTCGGGATGCGGAGATGACATGCGCAGCGAGGTGAACGTGAGGGAGGTGGAGGTGGAGGTGAAGGCGGGGGGTAGGACGCGACGCGGACGTGTGGTGATGTTGGTGGGACGGGACGGGAGCAGTGAAAGCGCGGTGGGGTGCAGAGAGGTGTGCTGGTGCAGTGTGGGGACGATGGGCGTGTGACAGACACATGATGACATGCCTGTGCCGACTATGCACTATGTTAGATTTCAACATAGAGTTGGTAACCTTTGGAGTAGATAAATTTCACTTGTATATTATGTCATGTAATCATGGATCATATAGAAGTCGTAACACTTATTAAATATACATCTAATATGTTCATGTTCAAAATTTAGTTGTACCAATAGGCCAGGTACTTTAGACTAAGTTCATTGTGTTGGTGAACACTTTCATTTGACCAAGGTTTTTTTACAATCTAAAATGTGTTCTTAATTTTAACACAAATATGTAAAATAAAGTTTAAGTATTGTGAATACGTAATAAAGTAAGAATTAAGAGAAAATTGACAATCAGAATGTTTTTGATTTTAATTTACTGTCAAGGATACGGAAGTTGCAAAACCCGACATTTA